TCTAGCGGGAACAAACTAATTAACTATTAGTGTTAACAAACGTCAAGCTGACATAAACATTAAAAAAAAATCCAAAGTAATCACTGAGTCACTAAGCCCCTCAACTTACCTCATTTTACTGGTAACAAACGTCCACACAAAGGAGACACTAGTTTAGTTTAATGACTGTGTAAGTGTTAACCCATTAGCGCCCATGTGTTGTTATTGGTCCCTTGACAGCAAAACTATCATACAATTTTGGGCGTAATGTAATATGTATTATTGCAGTGAAGGATAATCACTTCCTGTTTCATTCGTAAACTTACATCATTTATGAATCACCAAACACAATAAGTTTTCAGTCAAAAGAATATTAGTTTAATTAATATTGTAGTAAGAAACAACAGTTCATAATGTTACACGCTTGTTCTCTTATTCATGAAGTGATGTAGTGTACAGTACGTGCCTAAAAAACTTAGCTGTTAAAAACGGAAATACATTGAATAACGCAATCACGAAAACATTTATATCTTATAATTTTCAAACTTTATTCATCAAAATAAAAACATCTATCAAACTTGACACCAAACTAGTATCATATCATATCATGGTGAAGCGGTCGATAACCTTTTGATAGCGAGGGTAGAGGCGGAAAATGATCTTGAGCTGTGATCTGTAGATAAACTCCTCTCCTATAACGTTGGAATTTCCGCGTCTTCAACATCAAACGGAAGCTTGTGATGAAGGCCACGAAGCTGATGTTTCTCTCTCTCTCTCTCCCTGTCAAAAAGGTTTACATGTATTTCGGAGCAGATAAATTGACACATTTTACTCTCCAACAAATATCTGAAAATATCCTACACGGCAAAACCCCACCCTAATACAATGAACAAAACCCCATACATTACAGTTTTTGGTAAGTGTTAGATACTATTCACAGTTCTAGATACTATTCACAGTATCACCCATGCGTTGTAGGGTTGGCGACCACGGCCGTTCACTCCAAACGTCACCAACCCTCCCAGATTTTGCATATCTCTGAGCACCCAAGTTTTAGCTCCTTTCCTCAACTAGGGTCTTTTAGCTCACATTCTAGTAGTAACTACACAAGTCATCAACAATTAAAACTTAAAAGAGATACGTTTATACATTTCCTTGGATGTTAAAAATGATGTATTTCACTCTTGATGTTGAAGCCCGGAATTGGTAGCATCCATTTTATTTTATTCATAAGACTCAACTAACCTTTATTTTTTTCTATGTTCTAAGTTTGATCTAGAGGCTTTGATGGTTAAAGTAGATCTTGAAGGATGAAGCTATAACCCTTTGAGGACGATGGTTGAAGTTATAGCTCTTGAAGGTCGATGGTTGATGCTATAGGTTTTGAAGGACAATAATTTAAGTTATATTCCTAGAAGAATTTTAAAGGAATAGGAGCAAAAATACACATTGATATACATAGGGATATAAATAACCATCCAATTCCGTATAAATAAAAAGATTTATTTTCAAATGGCTGATACAAAACAGCTGCGGCACGACACCTCACGTCTCCCACATACCAAACAGTTGACTCCTGCAGCAGGTCACGTCTCGGGCCCTTCATTAACACTCCATCTGCCCTGGCAATTTGCATTATTTTCCACGGATGCTGCATGGTTTTCACTGCAATCTTTTTTGTTAAAGCTTCAGGACTGTGTTTTAATTTAGAACTTTATAAGTGGTGAAATAGGTTTATTATTATTATTATTATTATTATTATTATTATTATTATTATTATTATTATTATTATTATTATTATTATTATTATTATTATTATTATTATTATTATTATTATTATTATTATTATTATTATTATTATTATTATTATTATTATTATTATTAGCTTTAATCATCTTCTTTATTGTGGCATATAAGTACATATATAAAAGCAATTCGTCAATTTATGTTCAATGCCTTCATTCACTTCATGTGTTTCGATGGCCAGACAGCATTATGAAAAGTTTTCATATCTACAACAATAGTTATTGATAATCAAGTGATTCTTATACGGCAGTGAATTTAATGAAATAATTCTTTTAAAGCAAATAATTAGGAAAAAATCCATAAATATCACTATTAATAAAATTGATGTTGAGTGACGCTAGACTAACGAGTCTTAATACCTCAGAGAGTTAGTTCGGTGGTGGTATGGATGTTAGAGTTTCCTTCAGGCGAACAAGCAGTTATTTACAACAACTCAGGGATTTCAGTGTTAATGAAAGGCTTTGGGTGGAGCCGATGGTACCTGGCAGTCACAGGACATCATACACGTAAATCATCGACTATGATATGTACACTGACTTACTTTATTTACAAAAAAAATCTTTTTGAATAATAAACTTAATTAAAAAATAAATCATCACGATATTTATCACTTTAACTAAAATGCAACAGAAAAAATGCATTAAAGTATAAAAGAGGCGGAACCTCTTTTATTAGTCCTAAAACAATTCGGTATATATATATATATATATATATATATATATATATATATATATATATATATATATATATATATATATATATATATATATATATATATATATATATATATATATATATATATATATATATAGTGTAGAAATCAGAACCTTTAAATAAATCTATTTAGGAATGTTTCTCAGTACATAGAAATGGAATCAATTTCCTGACAGGATATAAGCTCATCCCTTCATCCAAGAATTAAAACTCCGTCATGAGGCTATAAAGTGTTCATCCTCCCTACTATAAAAAATAACAGTAAAGTCCTACAATCTGTGAAATAATTCGCAATTTTGACCTTTGAGCATACACTCTATAAGGCTCGTATTACCTGATGCAAATTCACATACACGTGCAACAAAATAAATCTTTATGCAACAGAAAACATTCATGTTTCCCTATAAATCCCGCCTAATGGTTGAAGCCATTAACGTCACTAAGTCCTTAGGCCATGAAAAAAAAAATGGTTTGTGTATGAAATTCCAAACTGAGTAAATGTGATACAAGTTTCCTTGTAACTAATAATTTACTTTTCAACAAAAACTCTCACAGATTATATCATTATATTTAATAATAATTCTAAAATAATTTGAAGAATCTTTTGAAAGTGATTTAGTGCGTGACCATCTTTACTCAGGTGTTGTCTCTCAGCTCAACAGTTTCTCTTGGGGACAACAAGGTGTAGGGACTCAACCATGGCGGGAGAGGGAGTCTTGGTTCTTTGGTGTTGTTCAATATACTTAAGTTATAACTCAACCATTGTATTTACCATAATGAATGAGCCTTGTTCAACGTGGTGATCAGACAACACCTCTTAAGAAATCCCTAAAATATCTTCGTCTATATTAGCACAGAAAAAAGGCAATCACAAACACTTTGGCCTCGACCAAAAAAATCACACTACGTCAGTTTACGTTACCAAGGTATTTGAGATGGTTTATATGAACGCTGTCTTTTTTCAGTTGTTTCTCCTTAAATATCGTTATCAAACTTACTTGGTAATCACACATGAGTAAATTGTATTATAAATCTGTTCTGTTTAAGCATACGAATGAACGTTCTTACCAGCTAGAATGAAAGGCAATCATATGGTTAATACATGACTAAGTTTTCCTGTAAACAGAGTTCTTCACATTATTGTTATATTTTTGGTCAAAACAGACACGGTCATCCTTAGCGTATCACACACTCTTATACGACTAGCGAGATGCTTAAGCGAAATTTGGCAGTGGATCCTTGGCTCATGTTAGAGAAAGTATTCAGCGCAGGAAAAATGAAAAGAAATTCACAGTAAAAAGTCGACATTCAACGCCGCCGGGAAGAGTGATAATGAATGTCAAAAGATTTGGCAAAATAAAATATAGGAATGTTCGACTGCATTACTGACACTTTAATTATCAGAGCAGCGACGAGAACAGGCACAACACAAAGTTGAATGATGATCCGGCCTTTGTTTGGGTCAGTGGGGTGCTGTGTATCCCAGTACACACACAAGAGAGGCAGAACCATGCTCATGAGATCAGGATGTGACCATATACAATATTTTTGGCAAGTCATTACATGCCGACTTCTCGACCTTCACTGCAACAATAAGACTGTGGCATTATGTAATTGGTAAACTTACAAAATCCTAGATACAAAAGTAATCAAGCTCAGGTATGCCATAGATAATTTTACAAACCGATTTAAATATTTAGGAAGTTTTAATTAGTTAACGATAAATTCTAGATATTAAAATTAATTTCTTTGGGATAAATTACGTCTGAATTATGCATGAGACGAGTTCCATGAGATCCCTGGTAAGACAAACTGTAGTGGTTCAGTGAAGGGGAGAAGCGGCGGACGTCACCACACACACGACTCACACTCACACAACAGGTAATTGACACAAAAATTTTCCCCTTAAATAACACTTATTTTTAGTAAACTTTTAAGTTCTTATTAAGTTTTCGTAATGTTTTATTTTTTGTTGATAAATATGAAAAAATAAATAAGAAAATTATTATCTACTGAGGAACTAACATTTCCTGGCTGCTAAAAGAAAACATTTAGCCGATGGTAAACTACAGTAACTTACGATCACGGTAAGAGGAACCTGAGGGAGAAACAGTTTTCCCAACTATTTCCCAATAAAGGCGTTTACTTCTACCGCTCAACACTGGTCACACCTTCATTATGCATTAAGGCCAGCAGGAGGAGGAGAAGGAAGAGGAGTTAGGATTCGAGAGTTGGTTTACCTTTGATTGAAGCACCTTTGGTTTCTATTACCCTAAGCATCAACTGAATTTTAGATCATATTTACATGACATATGACAGCATGAGGTTATTTCCATAACATAATGAACAATGATAGCATTCATGAATTAATACAACATCACAAGACACCTGGTATCATCTGCTGTGCACAAGTGTATACTCTAACTTATCAGCATATATATATATATATATATATATATATATATATATATATATATATATATATATATATATATATATATATATATATATATATATATATATATTCACTGATCTGTGTAAATTATTGTCATGAACATAGTCATCAAACTGGCCTAAGGGAAGTTACCTTAGTTTTTCACATATTTCAGTAGCTTGTCAACGCTCAACGAGATATGACTGTGGCAGTGACAACCATCAGTCGAGACTTTGATACAAAAGTGCACCACAAATGATCATTCACATACATTACTTATTTTGACTTAGCTATTTGGTCATTACTTTGTCAGCTTGTACATCAGTCCGTCTCCTGAGCAGCACAAGTTTCTTGTTTTCCTTATACCTGCCTTGACCTCCTGTTACTTGTCGCTACCATTAGTCACTAGCACCAAGACTCCTCCCCTTCTACGGTATCGTAGGTGGCCATGGGGTTAACTGACTCACGGTACTCCGGCTGCTGACTCTCCTTGCTGGTCTTAGCTTTAGGCTTGGCAGGGGTTGCTGGCGGCACATCCATGGAGCGCTGGGCGGCCACACCAGCGGGAGACTGGGAGGGGCTGCTGGCGGGGGACTTTGTCTTGCTGAGCTGCCGAAGAGAGTCGCCTTTCCTCTGTTTAGGAATGTTGGGAAACTCGAAGTCGCTATCCTCATCTTCGTCAGACTCTCGTCCGTAAATCTGGTTGAGCTTTTCAAAGCGGTGACCCCAATCGTTCTTGTAGTCGAATGGCGTATCACTGTCAGAGGAGCCTCCTAGAAAGGATACACAAACAGGACGGCGTGAAATTTGGTTGCCCTCGTGAGCTAAATGAATATAACATAGGCATAATACGTTGTGGTTCTTATGCAACACTTACATCATAATTTTATCATCCTACACGTGTTTTAGTAATCTTCACCACTTACCCGATCCGATGGAGGACAGAGATGCAATGGACATTTCGTCTCCTTCAAAACAGTAATGGCGCACGTCATCGAAGTCACTCGGATCCTTATCCACCTACAGAGAACAAAAGAGAACACAAGAACATTAGAGATCAACTTGAGGTCCTGGCAAGTGTTGGAAGATATTTGATTCATGACAAAGTTTGGTCGGTCAGTGACTCCCTAATGATGTTTAGGGTGAACTTTTAGGGTAAGAGAACAACAGTCGACCATATTAATAAGTAACAGCACAGTGGTACGTTCTGGTAACGTACACGTCCAAAGGTAAGATTATGTAAGGTTAGATTAGGTTATGTAAGGTCAAGGCGTTCATAAGGCCAAGACGTTCATAAAGTCGAGATGTTCATAAGGTCAAGACGTTCACAAGGTCATGACGTTCACAAGGTCAAGATATTCACAAGTTCAAGACGATAATAAGACCAAGACGTTCACAAGGTCAAGACGTTCACAAGGTCAGGGTTTTCACTCACCTTCTTGATGTTGTCGCTGATAAAGTCCCCGATGCTGAGTCCCTCGGGCATCTGCGCAAGGGGCGCCGCTCGCTTCTGCAGGGTGTCGTCAGCCACGTCTGGTAAGCGCCTCTCCTCCTGACCTGTTGTGGAGGAGAGAGAAGGAAAGGTGATGCGGGGAAGGCAAAGGTGTTTCTAGAGCTTGGGGTAGAGACAGGTGAGAGGGATAAAGACACACGTGAGGGAGATAAAGACACGGGTGAGAGAGAGAAACAAAGGTGTGGTAGATGATATTGGAGGCAATGAGAGATATTCCTCGTCCGAAGCAGGTGGCATTTATTGGCTATGGCAGAATAGTGGAAAACAATTTGTGCTGTTATTTCTCAATTGAAGTAAACATTAGAAAAAGAGTTTGGGCCAGAGAAGGTAGTATTTCTCATCAATAGAGATAGTTGATTATATTTCTCAGATATGTTAAAAAAAGGCAGAGAGGACACACACGGATATACTTCAGGTAAGGTGGATGAGAATAGAAACTCAACGACAAGAATCAAATACGATCAAATATTGAGAGTAATTATTGATATTCCTAAAGTAAATATTGAGAAATTCCCCTAAGGACTGATCGGGTATCCCTCACTGGTAACACGGGGAGAGTAAAAGTTTCAGTAGATATAAAAAGTGATAATTGCAGTTCTTAATTCAATGGTTTCAATTTCCAAGCGTCGAGAAACCAGATAACAGATGAACAACGATGTTATAGAGAAATCCGACTGTGAGAATGATTTAGGAGTAATGATGAGTAGGAATCTTCAACCAAGTAAACAGTGTGCATTTGCTCTAAACAAGACAAACTAAGTTCTTGGGTTCATACAAAGGAGTGTTAGTTATAAGATTAGCGAGGTCATCCTAAAACTATATCTTGCGCTTGTGAGACCACACCTGGATTACGCAGTTCAGTTCTGGTCACCGTATTACAGAATGGATATAGAATCCCTAGAAAGAATTCAGAGGAGAATGACAAGACTAATCCCGGGCATTAGGATCCTTGAGTACAGAGACAGGGTAAATCATCTTAATATGCACTCCCTCGAGAGACGTAGAGTGAGGGGCGATATGATCGAGGTGTATAAATGGAAGTCAGGGCTAAGCAAATGTGACATCACAAAGGTACTCAAACTATCAAACCAGGAGCGAACTCGTAACAATGGTTTTAAATTAGATAAATTTAGATTTTGGCCCGAAATAAGTAAACATTGGTTTGGAAATAGAGTAGTGGACGAGTGGAACAAGTTACCAAACATCATCATTAACTCGAATACGCTGGATAGCTTCAAACATAGGTTGGATGCTTATATGAGTGATAGGGGTTGGGTGTAAACGGGACTGCCCAGTTTGGGCCAATAGGCCCGCTGCAATTTTCTCCATTCTTATGTTCTTTTGTACTATTGATTGCCTTCGATTGTCTATTACATGATACGTCTTTTAATAACTGAATGTTATTATAATGTATTAAGGTGTTTCAGTAGCGGATGTTTTTATGTATGTACTGTACACTGAGTCAATCTTTACATAACGATAATTAACAATTTTGGAATATTGTGTAATTCTGTTTTTATAAATAAGTTTCTTAACCATATAACTCGAGATCAATTTTCACACTGAACAACCCTGTTATAAAATAACTAATCATACAATTAAACCTAATGTTAATATTATAATTGACAAGGCCTTAACAATTTGGCTAATTAACCACATCCACTTAGACAATACACTAGACATCTACACTTAATTAGATCTAAATATCTGAGATCTTTTGTTAATTACTGCCAATATGTGATATATAATACAAAACACAGAGTTTAATACAGAGGAAGAGAAAGTTTCGTCCTCTGAAGACAAACAGGAGAGTTAAGAAAGTGTTTACAGCCTCCACTAACTTGTAGGAGGATGCGGTGAAGATGCTGTCTCCCAAGACCTCAAGAATCTAAGAATATGTGTAGGAAGAGGAGTGCCTACCTATGGTGGGAGAGTAGAGGGGCGAGGTAGAATGTTATCATGCGGTACTACATTAGACTATATTTCTAGTCAGTTTGGTGAGGATTTTTTTAGAGGGAAGTTTTGTCCATTGGGTTTAAATCTATTGGGATTTTCTTATTTGATATTTTGTATATTGGGATTTGTCCGTTGCGGATTTTGTCCAGAGAGACTGACTTTTTTTACGGTAGGATTTCTGTCTATTGAAATTTGTTAGGGTTGAAGACGACAAGAAAACGTAAGTAGAATTTTGATTATGAAAAAAGTTAAAAAGGTAAAAAAGAAGTAAAAAAAAAAGATCTCCCAGAAAGAAACAACAACACGTGGAAGAATAAATTATTTCAAGATGTCTTCAGAGTTCTTCTAAGATTTAATTAATAGAAATCATAGATATAGATTAAGTAAGAAATGTTAAATACATTAAACAAAAAATGGTTAGTAACAGTGAAATGGATATGAAATAGAATATTTGTTGTCGCTTATTTTTAAGAACTATAACAAAGTATTTTTATACCTGTCAGTATTTCGCTTTGAGTTATTATTATTATTATTATTATTATTATTATTATTATTATTATTATTATTATTATTATTATTATTATTATTATTATTATTATTATTATTATTATTATTATTATTATTATTATTATCCTAATTTTACTACGTTGTTTTTCTGTAAGTTGAATTCATTACTTGCTCTGAAAATCAACTAATTCTCTTCTAAAATAATTATGACTCACACTAATCCTACTTATCTAATTATCTAACACAAAACAAGTACAAGAACAAGTTTGTAAGTCATCATTACGTTTAGTAACTTGGGGAAAAATAAGTTAGCGATGCTTCGAAACCTTTCACGCTGTTGGGCGCTCATATTAATGGCCCGCTTAATATGTTTACAAGTTTAGTGCACACAACAGGAAAAGGTAAAAAAGATAAATGGTAAACAAGAGGAACGAGTAAACAAGAAGAAAGTGCAAACAACGGGAAAGTACAAACAACAGGAAAGTACAAACAACGGGAAAGTACAAACAACAGGAAAGTACAAACAACAGGAAAGTACAAACAACAGGAAAGTGCAAACAACAGGAAAGTGCAAACAACAGGAAAGTGCAAACAACAGTAAAATGAGTAATACAACAATGAGAATGAGTAAGACCAAACAATTTTATGTTTCGTGTTTCATAAGAGAAAAATAAACACACAACATTACAGTCTGACACCCGGAATTGGGCGAGTAATTTGCAGGATAACTTTTACAAATTGCCTCTCGCGCTCCTGAGGCGAGGATGTCCCTGGCTGGCCAGTGTTAGTCGCCACACAGGAAATGTTTGATAAATAACATTGATACCTTCAAACTTTGTCTCAAGAAGTTTTACTGTGGATCACCGGAACAATATCAACCCCAACTTATTTCACCAAAATAACCGCACTAACACTAACCTAACGAGGCCTGACCTAACCTAACACTAACCTAACGTAACGTAACATAATAATAACATAACATAACGTAACCTAACACTAACCTAACAAAACCTAACCTAACCTAGTATAATATAACCTAACCTAACACTAACCTAACGTAACCTAACACTAACCTAACAAAACCTAACCTAGTATAATATAACCTAACCTAACACTAACCTAACGTAACGTAACCTAATAATAACATAACAACACGTAACCTAACACTAACGTAACGTAACGTAACCTAATAATAACATAACATAACGTAACCAAACACTAACCTACTGTAACGTAACCTAACACTAACCTAACGTAACGTAACCTAACACTAACCTAACAAAACCTAACCTAACACTAACCCAACGTAACGAAACCAAACACTAACCCCTAACGTAACCTAACACTAACCTAACGTAACGTAACCTAACACTAACCTAACAAAACCTAACCTAACCTAGTATAATATAACCTAACCTAACACTACAGTAACCTAACCTCACCTAACACTAACCTAACATAACCTAACCTAACATCACCCCCCCAAAGAGTGTTAGGGTAATTAATCTTCAGGTGAAATAAGCTGGGGTGGACATTCTTCAGGTTTAGACGTTGATATAATAATTTACATTTTATACGTGAGATAACACGGAGATAACACAAAGATAACAGAGAGATAACACAAAGTATATCTCCTATTATTTTATAGTTGTTGTCTAGTTTGTAAATCGAGTTAGTGAAGTTAACTAAATGACCTTAACCCTTGAAGCACGTAAAATCATTAACCCAACGATACTGGAGGAAAAGTTAGTACCGTAATTCGTACCGTAACTAAACTGAGTACAAGTTTTGTCGGATGATTTAGAATATATATATATATTTTTTTTAACATTTATGCATCATTAATTATCTTATGTATATTTATATATGCAGTATTTTTCCAGCTTAAAATTGTTAAAAAAGATTATCATTCTATGTCAAAAAGAAAAAAATAAATAAACTGTAGGATTTTCGGCTCATCGAGAGGACGTGGAAAGAATTTAGTGGTGAGTGGTTGAGAATCAACAGGTCGGGGCCACTTAGCACATGGGAGGTCTTAAAGAGAGAGCCAAGAACCGGAACGTAATGCGTAGAAAAAAAAATACAGACTTTATCGCCCCTAAAATTAAAAATGGAAATACGAATGACTTTTACCTTCATTATCACATTACTAATCATCCGAAACTCTATCAGTAGGTGTTATAGTTACATAGTGTGATGCTGTGTTTGCACGAGTGTAGGCTTTCTCGGCGTGTAGGATTAGATTATGATAATTAATACCAATATAAACTCATTAATTATAAATAGATTCAATATTACTGATTCTTTAGTTAACTACCTATATTACGATTCACAAAAATGTGTACTTAGTTATATACAAATGCATTTAAAATATCCCAAGTGGAATTTTGGGTAATCTTGATGTTAAAACGGAAGACTAACATTTGACGCCCATATAAGCTTGATAATAATTGTGAATCTTCATTTTAATACATATTCGATAAAATATATGTAGCACCAATTCACAAAAGCAATCAGAGAAACATTTATTTATTTTGGAAAGGTCGGGAACAGTACACACAAGGGAATGGATTTTAATGAA